TCGTTACCTAAGCAATCTGTTACCTCTCTTCAAACATAATCAAATATAAATATGTTTCTTTGTAGACTTATCAGGATGAATACTAAATTTTTAAAAAATGAACTTAATTATCAGTGTCAATAAAATAAACTGATGAGTATATAGGACAATATAAGAGGGTTGAAGATTGTTTATTTGCTTGCCTTTTTGGAACATCATGAACTTAGAACTTTTTGAAACATTTTGAAGTCTATTTCAATTATAAAATATAAAGCACATGCTTTATATTTTACATGTTAAAGTTTGAAATATGTGCATAGTTAATATATGTATAGTAAATTGTTCCTTCATTCAGTAGATTTTAGAACTGATATACATAAACCTAAGTAAAACATAACATGTTCAGACCTTGAGTTATGGACTTGTTAAGCCAAAATTTGGTCGGTTTCTGAACAGTCAATAAGCTTGTCAAGAGACTCCTTTTGCTTAAATATAACCGTTTACTCTGTGTATTATACTAAAAAAGAATTGCTAATGGCTAGAGAACCAAACTTCTAAAAATGCTTTTTATATATATGTTTTGATGTGTAATTCCATGAAGTGCTAGAACTGTGAATTCATTTTTAAAAAAATGATAATGTCCGCTACATTGTTTCAGCAATATCATGAGAAGCTATGAAGAACTGTGAATTATTTATTTGTTTATCTCACAGTAATTATTATCTGCCCTAATCCCAAAAGACTGGGAGGCATATAATATCAAACCATTACCCTAGCCTGATTTTGCCAGTATAAGGAAAAACTTCTAAACGGATGATGACTCTACTGATTTAATAATGCTTAGCAGGAGATATTTAAAGTATATTAAATGAAATTTTTATGATACTAACTTTTTTCTTTTTCTTTTTTAAAAGGACTATCGGACAAAACCATTTTGCTGCAGTGCATGTCCATTTTCCTCAAAGTTCTTTTCTGCTTACAAAAGTCATTTCCGGAATGTTCATAGCGAAGACTTCGAAAACAGGATTCTTCTCAATTGCCCCTACTGTACTTTCAATGCAGACAAAAAGACTTTGGAAACGCACATTAAAATATTTCATGCTCCCAATGCCAACACACCAAGTGGAGGCATCAGCACTTTTAAAGATAAAAACAAGCATGATAGCCTTAAACCTAAGCAGGCTGACAGTATAGAACAAGCTGTTTATTACTGTAAGAAGTGCACTTACCGAGATCCTCTCTACGAAATAGTTAGAAAGCACATTTACAGGGAACATTTTCAGCATGTTGCTGCACCTTATATAGCAAAAGCAAGTGAAAAATCACTCAATGGAGCTGTATCCTTGAGTTCTGGTTCCCGAGAAGAGAGTATGATTCACTGCAAACGATGCCTTTTTATGCCGAAATCATATGAAGCTTTAGTACAGCATGTTATTGAAGACCATGAGCGTATAGGATATCAGGTGACAGCAATGATAGGGCACACTAATGTGGTAGTCCCAAGATCCAAACCTTTGATGTTGATTGCTCCAAAACCCCAGGATAAAAAGCCTATGGGACTTCCTCAGAGATTGGGACCCTTGTCTCCTGGAAATGTTCGTTCTCTTCCATCGCAGCAAATGATAAATCGACTAAATATACCAAAGCCTACATTGAATTCAGGAGTTAATATGATGTCCAGTGTTCACTTACAGCAGAATAACTATGGAGTGAAATCTGTACCACCAAGTTACGTTAGTCATACAGGACGGCTAAGTTTAACTGGTAGCTCCCCAGTGTCTCTATCCCAGCAATCCCTGAAACAGTATCCTCCGAGTGGAAATGGGAGGCCGTACCCTCTTGGAGGAGAACCAAGACCACAGACCTCTGCAAGGTACTCTCTTCAAGCTGCCAACTCGTCTGCACTTTCATCCGGTGCATTGAAATCAACACCATTAGCTCAGTCTCAGGCAGCATCCAGAGGATTAGCCCAGTCCACACCCAAACCCCTTGGAGCAAATGCTACTGCTGCAGCTTCTGCTTCTGTTAATACTTCATCAACGCAGAAATGGAAAATTTGTACAATCTGCAATGAGCTGTTTCCAGAAAATGTGTACAGTGTTCATTTTGAGAAAGAACACAAAGCTGAAAAGGTGCCTGCGGTTGCTAACTACATAATGAAAATACACAATTTTACTAGCAAATGTTTATACTGTAATCGCTACTTGCCCACTGATACATTGCTTAATCACATGTTAATTCATGGCCTGTCCTGTCCCTACTGTCGCTCGACTTTTAATGATGTTGAAAAGATGGCTGCTCACATGCGAATGGTTCATATCGATGAAGAAATGGGACCTAAAACAGATTCCACTTTAACCTTTGATTTGACATTACAGCAGGGTAGTCACACCAATATACACTTACTTGTAACTACCTACAATTTGAGAGATGCCCCTGCTGAATCTGTTGCTTATCACGCTCAAAATACTCCTCCAGTTCCTCAAAAACCACAGCCAAAAATTCAAGAAAAGACAGATTTACCTGTCAAAAGTTCGCCTCAAGCAGCAGTTCCATACAAGAAAGATGTGGGAAAAACTCTTTGCCCTTTGTGTTTTTCCATCCTCAAAGGACCCATCTCTGATGCACTGGCGCATCACTTAAGGGAGAGACACCAAGTTATTCAAACAGTTCATCCAGTAGAGAAAAAGCTCACATATAAATGTATTCATTGCCTTGGAGTGTACACTAGTAACATGACTGCCTCAACTATAACTCTGCACCTTGTCCATTGTAGAGGTGTGGGGAAGACACAAAATGGTCAAGACAAATCTAATATTCCCTCTCGGATAAATCAGTCTCCAGGTACAGGACCTGTGAAACGTACTTATGAACACATGGAATTTTCTCTTTTGAAGAAAAGAAAAATAGATGATGATGATTCGCCTTCAGTTTTTGAGGAAAAGCCTGAAGAACCTGTAGTACTTGCTTTGGATCCCAAAGGTCATGAAGACGATTCGTATGAAGCCCGAAAAACATTTCTCACCAAGTATTTCAATAAACAACCGTATCCCGGTCGAAGAGAAATTGAAAAGTTAGCAGCCAGTCTTTGGCTATGGAAATCTGATATTGCTTCACACTTTAGTAACAAAAGGAAGAAATGTGTTAGAGATTGTGAAAAGTTTAAAATGGGTGTTTTACTAGGATTCAACATGAAAGAGTTAAATAAAGTGAAACATGAAATGGATTTTGATGATGAATGGCTGTTTGAAAACCATGATGAAGAGAATTCTAGAGTCAATGCTAGTAAAACAGTTGATAAAAAAATAAACTTAGGTAAAGATAATGAAAGTTCTTCAGACAGTTACGAAAATATAGAAGATGAGTTCAATGAAAGCAATAGTCCTTTTGTAGAAGTTGTTTCTGATCACAAAGCATCTATAATTAGTATAAATGAAAAAACAGATGAAAACATATCTAAGGAGGCCCCCTTGGAAGCCGTGTTGGAGCCTCCAGAAAAAACAGACCAAAAAGAGAATGGAGGTGATTCAAAAATCCAGGAGAGTTGCTCTGCAGTGGAACCAGGAAAGCAAGTGGCTAATGGCTCAGACAGTGAAGGTGACCAAGAAGATCAGGATGATGTTATTGAATGGAAAGATGCAGCATCAGCCTCTGAAAGTGGACCTGGTTCTCAACAGGCATCTGACTTTGAAGATAATATATCTGAAGTGAAGCCCGAAACTTGGACTGATGAATCATCCCAAAGTGAAGATGCTAATAGTAAACCAGGTGCAGAAACTAAATGTGTTGTCTCTGAGAGTGATGGAGACCATTCAAAATGGAAGAATAGTTCCTATGGAAAAGTAGGTGAGTTTTGGTCTAAGGACCAGTCACAATGGAAAAATGCAACAGAAATTAATGAGAAGTTGTCAAACCCACAGATGGAGTGGCAAAATAGCACAATTGACAGTGAGGATGGAGACCAGTTTGACAACGTGACTGATGGGGTTACAGAATCAATGCATAGCAGCCTAACGGGGGTAGAGCTGAGTAGCCAGCAAGCATAAAAGTTGGTCAACTCCATGGCCTCAGTATCTCCCACTTGACAACCGTCTACTTTCATTTACAATGAATGCTAATGTTCATTATAATTGGTACTGCCTTTTGAGTGCAAGGTCATCTGGCTAGTGGCTACAAAGCCACAATTTCTAGTACTTATTTCAAAGTATGCTGTTGGCAAATCTCACTTGAGAGTATGTGCTGTGATGAGCACAGTAACTTAATGTGAAAACTGATATGCTGGTGGCTCCCAGTTCACTGAAGAAAAGGTTTATTTTATCAGCATTTTCAACATTTATTTCACTGTATATGTTCAGCTGTATGTCTTTTTAAACATTACCTTTTCCACATGGTAGTTATAGGGCCAACATAAGAGCTACCAGTTCAATGTGTATAGTAGACTCTGGGAAAATTGTTTTTTCATGTATCATTCTGAATAGTTGAAATGTATATTTGTACAGTCTTTTAGACCTACTCAAGTGATGCTTATGCTATTGTTCTTGTGTATCCATCATAGATTTGGTTCTTTTCCCTTTTTTTTAGTGTTGCCCTGCTGTGTAATAAATGCTGTATCTAGTTTACCTAGCAAAAAGCTTGAAACTGCTATAGTATGAATTTTGACAGACTTAGTTTTTGCACATAACCTTGTACAATCTCAAAGAGGCCAGCAACATAAAATATATCTGGACTCTTATTGTATTATAGAATTTTCTTGTTCTTGAATATCCTTGACATTACAACTGATGACTATGTATTTCAGAGACATTTTCTGAAATCTTTTAAGCTAAAATCACATGCAAGAAACAAGTTTGCAGCTACTAATTTTGACACCTTTTAGATCTGTATAAAACTGTACTGTGTTAAAAGCAGCATACGGAAATGAGTGCTGCATTTTTTTGGATATTTAGTTTTATCTTTAGTTAACACCTCATGGTGTTATTCATTTATACCATCTAATATATAACACATTGTTGTAGTATGGATAATTTTGTGATCTTTATTTCCCCTTTGTATTCATTTAAACATCTAAATAAATTGCTGTATTGTGCTTAATGTAAATATTTGCTTTATTACAAATTCTGAATTACCTGTTTCCCAAGTCAATGTGATGGCTTTTGTTGAAAGAAAACAAAATTCAGATGCTAGAGTTTATGCCTTGAGAAAATTAAGTTATCTACAGAAGTTCTGTATTAACAAACATAAGCTATCTATGTGCAAGCTAGTGTTAATATATAATCTACTGAACCAAACAGATGTATTAAAATTACAGTACTGTATATGGGTTTGCAGATGCAGCATAATACATCCAAACATTTTAACATTCTGTTGTTTTCAATGGCAGTTTAAAGATGTGCTTAACATTCCTATTGAAATATTTAAAAGTACTGTCATTTTTTTTGTAAATTGACAGTCCTTAAGATTTGCTCCTTGTAGTAAATCAATGAATGGATTGAATTGTGTCTAATATGCATTGTTTGCAGATACACTATTTGAGTTTTCACACAGAATCAATGTATAATATTGAAGGGTGGTGAGTTGGGGCAAATCAACAAGTTTTAACAGTATTGTCAATGTGTATTTTTGCCGTAATCAGGTTTCTACTGTAGCAGAATTAATTGTAGATCATTTTTATAAGGTTTTTAAAAATAATTTGTTAAGTTCTTAAAACGTTTTTCCTTTTTCATAAGATTTTGCTTATATCTAAATGCCTAGTTTTATTGCATTGTGATGCAGTCTGCTGGAGTCAAGTATGTATTTATTATATGTTCTAGCAGAGGAAAAAAATTGCTAAATCTGTACTGGGGTAAACTTGACAATATTTACATTAATTTCTAGTTAAAAAAATAACTTACGAAAAATATGTTAAAACTTAAAAATTCCACAAATGCTATAACTTTACATTTGAATTATTGCAGAAAAAAAATTACACATCAATGGTAAAGTAGCAACCTGCACTTTACAGTTTCTGGGAGATTATAAATTGGATATCAAATGACCACAAAATCCAATTCAATTGTCATCCAAGTTGACAATCTGCTATTTATGTTTGGCATGTTGAAAGTATGTTACAGATAATCTACCCAAATATCTGTCACGATGGCTCTGGCCCATTATAAAACATGTTAAGCTGCACCTATTCACCCATGGTTATAAAGCAACACTTACTCAAATCTCTCTCCCCCCCCCCCCCCACAAAGGCTTAAGCAGAATTCCAGAGCTGCAGAAGTTTTCTAACACAGATTAGAAATTTGAAAAGAAAGCATTGGCAGAAGATAAAGGCAAATCATGTATGTATAGTTGCTTAGAAAACAACATAGCTTGTCCATGAAATTCCAAGGTATATTAAAGATTGGCTTGAAGGAGATTTTACTTTTACAGCCTCCCATATTTTTCTTTCTAAGAATACATGGGGAAGTGAGACAACCTTGTAGTTACCAGGAGTTGAGTTCAGCTCTAGGTTATCTTTAAATTGTGTTCGTTTTCTATCCACTGTTCTGATTTGAACAAGGATTTCCTCATCTTCTGAATAGTTACTTGCTATTAGATTGCTTGCCTACCCTTTAGCAGGTCCTGCTGCCTTTCATTTATAGTTTATGCACAAATATTCCCAAGTCATTTTGTTTCCAGCAAATATATTCTTTGATATGCCTGAGCACCAGATTGCTGATAATTCTTGCAGATTTAAATAGACTGCAGTGACCTTAGAATTCCTGTTTGTCCAGCTTCAAACAATGAAACATTTTAATTTAAACACAACTAACAGTTATGTCCTTAGGGCTATGACCAAAAGTCAAACCATTTTGGAGTTAATAGTTCATAACAATTGCATATATTCTAGTTGCAGACATCGTAAGGAGAAGTGTAAATAGACACTTAATTTTCATCGTATTTTGTTTTGTCTTCAAATCCGTGTTGATTCCTGGTAACTGCCTGGAGAAGTCCTTGTGGTGTTCTGGACAACATTTTTCAGAAATAGCTGGTCACTGCCTTCTTCCTAGGTCTGAGAGAGACCAAATTTTACCCATCTGATTTTGTGCATAAGGCATAATTAGAATTCCTGGTTTCTAGACAATATATTGCCTTAACTAGTACACCAAACTGGTTTTCATACTGCACACTATATTAATGGTGCATCTTTCCCATGATAATTCTGCCCTAATACAAATGTAAAATAAAGTGGGAAGGAGAATACCCAAATAGTTTATTTGACTATAATGCAATAAGCATAAATACAAAACTAATGGCTCTGATACTTGCTACCAATACATTTGATAGGAAAATAATCTTCCGTTCTATAAAGTTCAGGCAGGTTATAACTCTGCTGTGCATCTGGAGTACATGTCTGAAACAAAAACAAAAAAGTTAAGTTGGACACCACAGAATTAAAATATTTAATTAAATTGCTTTTAACAATTTATCTGTGTGTGTGTCTATACACACACATAAAATTGGTTTTTGAATACCTAAATGGAAGTAAGGGCATTTAAAAATATTTCAAGTGAAGATAAATTGTATTCAGAAGTTACACATTCAATTGTATTAGGACATTTAAATGAAACTTTTTTGCTTTTGACTTCCACTGAGCTTTTCCTGAATGAAGGTTATAAATTCAGGATTAAGGCCGTATTTAACTGAACCAACAAACTTCAAAATGAAAAAGAGCCTTGATAGTACAGTGGTATACGCACCCTGTTATTAACACAGCTGCCTGCAATTTCTGCTGGTTCGAATCTCTCCAAGGCTCAAGGTTGACTCAGCCTTCCATCCTTTCTAAGGTAGGTGAAATGAGGACCCAGTTTGTGGGGGCAATAAGCTGACTTTGTATAAAATATACAAAAGTATGAAGGCTATTGCTTAACGCATTGTAAGCCGCCCTGAGTCTCCGGAGAAGGGCGGCATATAAATCAAATTAATAATAATAATAATAATAATAATAATAATAATAAAAAAAAAAATTGAACCAATCCCCTGTCCAAAAATGCAAGGGGAGAAAACCCCATATTCATTATTACAGTAGTTTGGGGCAAAGACAATGCTGACCCTTTTATTTTAAGTTTTAAGTTTTATTTATGTGGCAAAGATTTCTTCATTATTCCTAACAAGTTAAGTTTAAAATCCTTGCTTTTCTCCGCTGCAGATTGCAATACAGAGGTTCTGAATGCCAAAAAAGGATCAAAATTAGCTCTTGAGAATTGTGTAAAACAAAGCTTTTGATGCACAGTACAGAAGTAAAGGGACTCATTAATCAATAGAGAGATGATGTGCCAGATGCCTGTGTGAAAAGTTCATCGCCTCATGTTTTTCCCCCAGCTCTGTCTTAGACCCCAGAAATCGGATGAGTTGAACCTGCACAGAAATTTAATTTTGTTGTAAAGTTCACTTGCTTTGTGCTCATTTGTGACTTATGTGATAGATTTCTGGACATATTCAGTCACATTACCCAAGCAAATTCATTACAGAATAAATGGAATGGTTATACAGAGTACAACAGGTGTAGTGTCAAAAGCAGTACTTTATACAGTGATTTTTTAATCTCTGTTTTGTATATGAGTAAAACCTAGAGGGATTATATAAATTCTATAATCAAAAATATCTTCCTAAAGCATAATTGCTGCCATCATTTATTGCTTTTGTCAGTAACCATTTCCAAACGCTCAACATGTGGACCTTTTGGGAGACACAACAGCCAGCGTAAATCTTATTCTTGACCTTATAGGTAGTCCTCAATTTATAACAGTTTGTTTAGTAACTGTTCGAAGTTACAATGCCACTGAAAAAAGTGACATGACTTTTTCACCCCTTTTGCAACTTTCCGGCAAAGTTAATGGGGAAGTCATATTCACTTAACAACTATGTCACTAACTTTATTGCAATGATTCGCTTAACTGTCAAAGGTTGTAAAATGGGGCAAATTTCACTTAACATCTATCTGCCTTAGCAACAGAAATGTTGGGCTCAATTGTGGTCATAAGTTGAGGACTACTTATATTCTGCTTTAGGTTCAATGCACAGGTTTCATGATTCCAGTTATGCTTTCAATAAAACATTGGGAAACTACATTTAATGCATTTTTTAAAAAAATCCCCATCTTTAATTTGATACAATGAAGTTATACTGACAGACCAAGATGTCAAAAGGGAAAATCCTCAACTGCCGCTCCTGTAACATGTAAAAGATCTGAATGACAAATGGAAGATGTGTATTTATGTACAAAGGTAGGAATACCATTCATGTGATACCCAATCCATTCTTAATGCTTTGCTTCTGTGCCCTTAAAGCATCTATTTTGCTGATTTACTCTGAAAGAACAAGTCACTTGAGAAAGCAGGCTGCCTTGTATTTTTGTGAGGTATCAGAAATAGGCAAAACTTGGCATTTTGCTATTCTCTCCCTCTAAAGTACCTCTGTGGGTTATTAAATAGAACTTAACGTTAAAAATGTTGATGGGCTACTTCTGCATTGTAGATCATGCAGATGCCTGCTGCTCTCACTTAGAAGTTGGAGCATGCAACCAAAGCATCTCCATATCGCTCAACTAGATTAGCATGGGCTCTTCAATGAATAAAATAGGTCACTGTTTCAGTCTGCCTCAATATTGGAAAAGGGTTTCAGAAATTCTGCTAACTCACAAAGAGTCTTTATGGATCAACCATAACGTTTGCATTTTGTTATGGAAGATTTACTGAAGAATGAGCCTATTTAGTCATATTGAACACATAGAACTAGAGGTTTCTGGAGATGTCTTAAGTGTCAACTCTGAAACAAACCTGACTGGGCCCATTTTGGAGGCCTCAGGGTTGCCACAGTGCGATGAAGGGATAGGGAAGGGGAACATAGTTAGATGGGGGTTTGTAGCCAAAACAAAATACTTTCCTGTGGGAACCAAGGACATTCCAACAGGTAGCTGGGGGGAAGAGGAGTCCGGTCACCGTGCGACCAGCCAGCACCTTGATTGGACAATGTGACTGATAGTTTGGGGAGAGGGGGAACTTTCACCAGTTTGTGCCAATGTGGTATCTCCAACAAAATTGTTCTTTGAGGAACTTGCCTGCCTCGGAGTTCTGCTTTCTATGGAGTTACTACTTGGAACCTTGACAAGAAGTAGGGAAAGAGAGCAGCAACCTACTGCTATCGTCTATCAACATGAAATGGAAGCAGTGTCTCTGAAAATAAGAAATCTATGCCTCTAAGGCAGTTTCTCAACATTGGCAAGTTTTAGGATGTGTGGACTTCAATTCCCAGAATTCCCCAGCTAGCGGGAGTTGAAGTCCAAATATCTTAGAAAGTTGACAAGGTTGAGAAATACTGCTCCAAGGGGCTTTCCTGTCTTCATTTACGTAGGTAAATGAGGTTCTTCCTTGTGGGAAGAACCGGGCAGCAGAAACAAAATAGAAAACATTGGGTACTTATCAAAATAGTTCCAAAATCCCAATGCTTTACTTAAGTAGTTCTTTTGCAACTGAAGCAGCACTGCAGTGCATCTTCCTTCACCTCTTCAACCTGCGCTAGGAATGACACCGCATGATACTTCCCTGCAGACTGATACTGTTTTAAGCTGTTGCCAAGGAGCTATGCAGGAGCATTCTACCTCTCAAGTTTTCAACCTGCATCTCCTCAGCAACCATAAAGTAGCAGCAGCAGAAGCAAGTTCTTGTAGGTGACAATTGACAAGTGGTGCTCTATGTGAATACTCCTGAAGCATTCCTTACTCCTGGCTTTTTCTACACTCAGCATTTACTCTCTCTGTCAATGAAACAATAAGCAGCTACAGGGTGGATGGTAGGCTCTCATACTTTCATCTCTGGCACCAGGCTGATGGTGTGGAAAAATTCTGAGGCCTACTAAGTGTGGTGAAGAATGTGCCCCAGATGGTGTGTGGAAGAGGGGCCATCTGCCTCCTGGTTGAGTAAAGGAATATCCTGTTGTATTGCTGTGTGCAGCTCAAGTACCTACACACCAAAACGAAGTGGCTGGAAACCACCTAGGACAATGATGGCTAACTTTTTCTGGACTGAATGCCCAAAGCGCATGTGTGAAACCCCCAAAATGGAATGCATATGCAGGCTCTATGCATGTGCCCTGCCCCCCACGCATGCAAGTACGCCCTCCCGCGCATGCATGGCAGAGACCCGAAGACTAGCTGGCCAGCGGGAGGTGCGCATGCACAGCAGAGCTGAACTGGGGAGACAGCTCACGTGCCATCAGGGGGCGCTGCGTGCCACCTCTGGCGCATGTGCCATAGGTTCGCCATCACGGCCCTAGGACTTCTGCAATTCTTTTTAGAGAAGAATGTCAATGCTCCCCCTTCTGAGATAGCAGCTAGCTCCTTCCTTTCTTCATTGACAAAAGATAAATGACTGCCCAAGTTAAAATACTAAAAATACAAGATAAGAACACCTCCCCCCCCCAAAAGAAAGCACCCTCTACCTTCACATGCTTCACTTCCCCTTACGAGACCAGACTGCCCACTGGAATATTGCAAGAATCAATAGGCAGCCTTAAGGATTAAGCCTTTTGCTTCCGAAGACAGCTGACGCTTTCTCCTTTTCTGAGAGATAAGCAATACTGGCTAAGAAAAGAGAAATACATTCATATGCTTTTGCTCAGTTTTGGCGCTAAATTACTCTAATACATTGCATTTGTATACCCAGACTCCTGAAAGCAACTTAAATAGAAGAAGTTAACTTGGCACAAGATTTCCAACTAAGTAACGAGGGAGCTGTTAACTAGCATGGACAATCCTGATCTACTTAGAAGCAACCTCTTGTAATCAGCTACAGTAACAACAGCCTTAATACTCAAAATATCTGAACAGCCTAATGCACTATGATTTAAAATCAGATAGCACAATATGAAACAGGCAGTGAGCCCTCTACTGAACAATGTACACTGATCATGCTAGGCCCAATAACGTTTTACAGATAGCAGATACAATGAACAATAACTACCAGTTTTATATCTGCTAGGGATAGTAGATGAGAGCAGACTTTCTAAGCATGT